CTGTTTTGGTTCCACATGTTTATTCAATTCAAATGGTAATTATTCTTTTAGATTCTTCAAGATTACACATGTGATAGTAATTTGAACTACATAGTATTAACTTTAAATTTACTGTGACATACTGTTCAAACAAAAGGACACATATGGGAAGAACTGCAGCTCGGGTCATAACAACAATACACGGAAAAAGCGATCTGACAAAAAATGGCGGCGAAAACTCTTCATTTATAGCAGCGGCTACGTAACATGCCAGAATGTTCTTAAAGTATTGGTCTAGGAGTAAGATCCTGAAATTGTGGAAAGTTAATTAGAGGTTGCCTATTCGCGTAGAGCAAAGCCATCGTATTTCTTATATTATACACACACACACACATATATATATATTTGAGCTTTAACAAACTTCTTAAATGAGAAATTGCAGTACACAGATAGTTTAAAATAAAATCGCTGAAATTAATATCATGATGACTTTTTTTTTGTCTGTATATGTAACCATAAACATAAATTAGTATAGTAAATCAGAGTAGTAGATAATAATTTTTTAGAACCAGGTGCAAAATTCTTGAGTGCTAATTTACCCAAATATGAAACTATTAATCATTCATGTGAAATATATGCAATATTTCAGCTATAATAATCTGCGACTCCATTTTTTATGTTAGATGGTTTGAATGACTGAAGGAAGAGAGAATTAGACCTAATTTTACATAGAATTTATTCTCAGCTAATTGAAATAGATCATAAAATAAGCTCTTTAATACTAAGAAGGTGACAATGATAAAAAATATCAAAATGAGTATGTGATAACAGAAGAATATTATACAAATTTTGTAAATGCACAAGAAAACACAGAAATGTATTTTAACACAATTTTTAGAGCTGAATGTTCTGTTAATGCTTGCTTATTCAATAACAAAAATTAAAATTAATGAAGATCAACATTTTGAATTTTGATGGGTAAATCAAAGATTGCCTTGCTTTTTGATGGTTTGGTTTGGTTTATTTAATTATGGCAAAACACACTAGGGCTATCTGCCTAAGGGGAGGGATGCCTTCATGGAGGACATTCTAAGGTAAACTGGCTCGTATACACGTAACACATGGGGAAAACCACGAAAACGACCATGCAGCCAGCCCGTTCGTGGGATTCGAACCTCGGACGAACTACCAGTGTTCAGCGACTTTACCGCTTGGCCGCTGGTGGGCGCCTTGCTTTTTGAAGCCAATTCAAAAGAATATATGAAAGCTATCATTACTGCCAACTTCTACTTCATTGTAAAGTACATTCATTACATTAATTTGAAGTTAGAACATTGATTTTGCATTATTATAGTGAGCAACTTTGATTAGTCCTTTTGTCAAAGTTATCAAGCATAAACTTCTTTCGGAGTATCCATAACTATTTACATGAATTTTTAGCTTAAATTTTCTTCTTCTTTTCATTTAGTTAGTTGATGTAGAAACTTTAGCCGCTATGAAAACTTTCACATAAAAAATTGGAATTTACTAATACTAAGCAAGTACTAAGTTGAAAATTTTGGTATTTATTAGTGGATTGTTTCACTGGTCTATTTAAGTTAAAGAAGAGCTATGGACTTCCCACTGCTGGACTGATGCTTCAACCATTTTATTTTCAATCAAGAAGAGGATCATTGGAGAACATATGTTCACAACCGAGTGAAGAAAATGCAAAGTTTGACACCAAAGAAGCAATGGTAACATAACCCTGGAAGCTACAATCCAGCTGTTCTCTTTTTAGAGGTTGTCCTGCTGAAATTTTTCTCAGATTTAGATGGTGGGAGGGCACACCATGGCTTAAACAATCTGAAGAAAATTGGCCTGCTGCTGAGATTCAATTAAATGTAGAAGAAATTTCTAAGGGAATAATGGACTTGGTTACCTGAATTGCCCTAATGAAAAATAGCACTTGCATTGTTTTTCAAAATATTTGTGAATTATTCAATGATAGCTTGGATACTGCGATTTTTTCAGAATTCTAGAAATCCGGATCTCGAACGAAAAGAAGAAATAACTGTTTATGAAACAGAAACAGCTGAGAAAAAGCTTTTTACCTGTTGTTCAGACAAAAATTTTTAAACAAGAAATCTACAAAAACTGAAGTTGAAATCTCTCTGCAGTTTCACTGATGAAGAAGGTCTAACGAGACTGATGACGAAATCCTTCAAAGATACAGATAATTTCATGTGTACATTTTTAACTTCAATTCATGAAGTTATGAGAAATTGTTTTTGCAGTTAGGTGCATTGCCTGCTGCCTGTTTTATTTGGTTACTTTGGTGGATTTTATTTGATTATTTAGGTTGTAAGATATATCCTAATTTTATAACAGCCATTTTAAGTTTATGACCCTTTCTTCTCTCTTCTAGCTTCAGCTTACAATTCCTTACCAGAATGAGATTTTAGAATCACGGTTAAATGCAAATGAGAAGGAGAATGTATTTAGGCCAAATTTCCACTGACTTCGAGACAGAGAGTTAGGATTCCTGAATAGTGCACGTTTTACCTTTAGACCTTTTACTACTCTCTTATTACGTGCCTTTTGATAGCTTCCCTGGTTAATTTAAATATTATGGGCAAACTAGTTAAGAATTGTGTTAGCTTTGGCTAAATCTCTTTAGTTAGTCCAGGGTTCATAGCCACATTTTAGTTAAAAAAATAAGCACCTATAAGCACTTTTCAAGCACATTTTAAGAAAAAAAGTAAGCACCTGTCTAATTACATTATACACAACTGCATAACCTTAAAAATTAGACTTGTAATTTAAAATAATGAGAAATGCAGTATTTATTAAGAGAGAATAAGCATTACCTCAACCATGGAAAATAATTACTTTTTTTTTTTTTTTTTTTTTTTTAAATTTTAAATAACATTTTAATTTACAGAACTAGTTTACAATGAGAGGAAAAAAAACTATGCAAAACTAAACTATATTACAAGATTTAATGATGAAATTTCAGTTCAAAATAGAGAAAATAAATAATAATAAGGAATATTTATTGTATTCGCTTTTGGAACCTAATAATATATACAATTTATTTTTCCACTCATATTGATATTTAAATAATTTAAATCTAAATTCTGAACATTTTCTAAATTTTCATTGTATATCAGTTTTCCCTTAACAGATATCCGCATACTTGGATATTGGCGAATATTCCGACAGTCGAGCATAACTTGAAAAAGAGGAGTGGAAGGGGGAGTAGACTGTAGCCGCTCTTTAGATTTTTCCGCTAAATAAATGCTTTTGACATTTCGATATGTGAATCATATAAAAATAAAACCAATGGAACTGAAAAATATTCTGGGATGTTCTTCATTCTAATTTTCAACAGACGGTGTTCCGGAATGGAATCATTCTTCGTTTGAGTAGGTAGACCGCAGAACTTTTCGTCCTATTCAATCCAGATTGGAAAGTGACAAAAAAAAAAAAAAAAAAAAAAAAAAAAAAAAAGTTCCACTACTTGTTTTGCAGTGAACTGTTACAGTTTCAATATTCGAGATTTTGCAGAGAAAGGCGAGAACCTCCCATCTTCGTACTGTATAATGTATTGGCCAAAAAAAAAACGAAATTATTTTGACTATTCGATTACTTTCCCTTTATTTAAGCCATTCCAAAAATTATTTCTTAGCTAATCTGTGTTAAAACACAACCATTTTTGGAAGTTTACTACAGTGCTCCGCAACCTTTTCTCACCTGCGATGCACAAAAAATCTTTCTGGAATTTCGTGGCACACCAAAAAGTTCCGAGTTATCAAGGAAGTGCCGAAAAAATTCAAATGCTGACACACTTACAATCACACACACAACCATACAACAGTGAAATATATAAAAACATTTAAAATAGACATTATTAAGGGGAAAAAATTGTCGTGCATTAAATACATGATAAAAAATTGCAAAATGTCAAATACATGTACTTGATTGCGGCACACCTATATCCTACTCATGGCACACCGGTTGCGGAGCACTGGTTTACTATACTTCAGCAGTTACTGCAACTATATTATTATAAACATTCATACATATGCTCATAATATAAGCATAATGATCATAATAAACATGAATATGAACTGACCAAGCAGAAGAAGAATGCAAATTATTAAGATCTTGATAGAAATTCAAACATGTGTACTATTTGGGTGGGAGGAAAAGAATGCCGAATTTACCGGAATTTTCTACTGCTTTCGCAATTCTTTGAGTAACAGAACAATGGGCACCTGTCTGTACTCTTTATGCACACCATGTTAATGCAGAGAAAGGGGGAAAAGTTATTTCCGGGAGTATGATTTACCATCTGACATTTCATATTAGGAAGAAAAGTTGTTTATTTAGTTTAGGCTTTCGTATGGGGAAAAATAGCACATTCATTAAAAAAAAGCACTATAAGCAAAAAATAAGCACTAAAAAAAAAAGTAAGCACCTATAAGGGTCTTTATATTTTATTTTCAAATATAAGGACTTATAAGCACTTATAAGGACCACTACGAACCCTGTTAGTCATTAGTTAGCTCTTATTTCTTACACTTTGTGTTTAAGCTGAAGTGGAAGCTTTGTCGTATGCCCTGAGAAAGGGGCCAACTGTATATCTTTATTTAGAGCAAATAAAGGGTAATTAACCCTTCTTGAGTTTACATTTTTATTCTTGGAACTTTAGCAATTATTCGCTTAGTAGTTCACTAGGGCCCTCAACACTTAGTTTAGTAGAATACATACTGAGGTGAACTGCATGTATTACTTTGATTACTTAGGTAAATTGCCTGCTTTATTTTGATTACTTAATCCTTTTTTTATGTTGTTTACTAGAGAAATCACTGAATGTATGAAATTCAGATAGAGTCTGGCACCACTGACGATGATAACTAAAACTATATTAACATAAATATCATCGATTATAATTATAAATCAACACATCTATCTTATTTCAATTAAAACTGAAAAAAAAAGGGGGTAGATTTGGCATAGTTTCAAATTAAACTTACCTCCATTCGTTTTATAGGATCAGAATTAGTATCAGCTTTTTCTAGAAGGTAGGAGTATTCCATATTTTCAGATAACCTCTGCAAGAAGCTCAATGGCTCATTGAAAACAACAGGCATAGTTATTTTTGATAATTCCTACATAAAATTAAAGAAAAAGGTTTAGCTGAATTAAAAAAAAAACTTATTGCATCTTTTAAATATTAAAAATAAGTAAGTTTCGAGTATTTTTTTACACATACTTTGCCTATGCATTGCTTGAGAATACTCCAGACACTGAAGTCATTCCTTGAAAATTGTGGTACAGGTAACATGCACCTATTATGAAAAGTATATTTAAGAATTGATAGACTAAGAAAATTAATAATATGCACATACAGTACAAAGTCTGTAATCCGGACCTCAAAGCTACAAACTTTATGTGCATGCATTTACACATGCACATAAAGTTTGTATAACGGACGGTATAAGCTAGGCTAAAATTATCTAAGTTAATGTTGCAGATTACATTGTTCTTTATTCTTCTAATTGGATCTGGCTTATTATTTTTTGCAGACTGTTAGAACAATTTTATAAAAATTAATCTTGAACTTTTGATTATGTCAAAAATAGTTTCCAATTCTGGAGCTGCCAAAGGATCTAATGTTTCGATATCCATTAAACAAAAAGTGGAATTGCTGCAAAAAATGGATAAAGGCCTATCCGTCTCAAAATTATGTGAGAAGTATGGCTTTGGAAAGTCCACTATTACGACAGAAAAAAAAAAAGGAACTTCTTGAATTTTTTGTAGAAGCATCATAAACAACTTAAATTAAAAGAAATGTTTAATAACGTAAAAAAATAAATATAAAGCCTTTTTTTTTTGGTAAATTTTGATACCTTTTAGATCATAATTGTTTTTTATTTCATAAATTATGATTTCGTATTTTTAATTGTATAATTTCTGCATGCCATCTTACCAGATTTAAACTGATGATCTATAATCCGGAAAAAACCCTAATCCGGAATTGCCGAAGTCCCGACAAGTCCGGATTACGGACTTTGTACTGTACTTTCTAAAAATTAATTTTTTTTTTTTTCTTTTAGCTCTTCATACATTTTTATTTTCCAGTCATATCACATTTATGTATATTCCATGATCAGAATGACTGCAATATTCCAATATTTCTTTCTGACTGCAATATGATAAATTTTAGCACACTTCACATTTAAACTTAACTTCATTTCTTCCCATTTATGCTTGATATAGCTTAGAGGTTTACCTGAAAAGTTACGATGCATTCCATGTTCTTCAAAGGCCCTTATTTATATAAAGAATGATGATCAGTCAATAGTAGATTGCCAGTTTTGTTTGATGACCTTTGTAACTCCTCATCCACAGGATCAGGTGAGTATGATACACATGGCAACACTTTTCATCCTAACACCAATAATTTTTGTGAGTGATCACACTTGTTTCTAAACTCTTACAAATGAGCCAACAAATTAGTTTTCACGTGTATGATCACCAACTGGACAGCTTCAACAAATTCCCCTTCCAGAAACTCCCAGAGCTCATTAATCGCATAGGAACTGCATTCCAGCCCGATAATGCGAGACCACACGCAAATCTGATCACCCAACAAAAGTTATTGGAGTTTGGATAAAAAGTGTTGCCACACGTATCATACTCACCTGATCCTGTGCAGTCAGATTTTCACTTGTTTCACACTCTTCAAAATTTCTTTCATGGTATACAATTAAATCTTATCTATTATTCTACCAGCTAATCATCAATTCACGAAATGAGTAACAGAACATTACGATAAAAAATATCTGTATATAGGTAGCCAAGCATTGTCAAACAAAGGTTTTGGCCTCTAAGATTATGATTTCGTATTTTTCGTATTCGGAAACTGGCATGAAAATTGTGCATAACTGTATCGTTTGTAGAAGTGTTAAACCAATTCTAGTGGAGCAAATAATGGGACATCTTCTTCAGCAGCTGGTGTGTGAGAACAGAAATTTCTCACACCACACAGTTCATCACCATGAACACTATTGTAACATTAATCGGAATCGCAGAACTACCACGTGCATAAATACATGCCAAACAGGTTTTTTTTCCCCTTCTCTTTGCTGACTACGGCTCAAACGAGTATGCAGGGCTGCGGACCTCGCATCTCTTGCACTCCTGGAACGTTGCCGTCTCATTGATGAAAAAGAAGCGAAGCAGCCTACAAATTGCACGAAATATCCAGAAATGATTATGCTGAGAATTATTCTATCTCAAAGTAACTATGCTGAAAATTAACTTATCATCGAAGTAACTTTGTTAATAATATGTGTTTTGCCTCAAGTAATTGCTGCTGTTGTCATCGGGTTCTCACCTCGTGGTCGTTACCTTGTGGTGACCAGGATAATGTGGATAAAAGAATAACCTATTAGACATGTGTAAAGCAACATCTAAAATGTGCGTATGAAACGTGGAGAGATTTTCAACAGGATAACGGAACGATGACTTAAACTTAGTTTTTGCTTTCTATCTTCACAAGACGGCGCTGTTCTTATAATTTTGTGTGCTAAGCTATTAATATGATGTATTTAATTCAGATAATGCTTAAGTAATTAAATAAAGTGAGACTGAGAAAGGAAATTGTTCTATGAAACCTTTATGCGGTATTTTTGGGTAAGTGAAGCATTTTATTATTCTCTATATTAGGGTTATAATGCAGTGTATGAGATATCGTTTTTTCAGCCAGCAAATATTGGGCACATGTAACATTGATTTGATACTTGTAAGAATCTAGTTAAATAGTGATTTACACATAACACCACATGGTGGAAGTAAGTGCACCTTTTAATTGCACAAGAATTTATTTTTGTGGCCCATTTTATATAAAGTGTAAATATCAACGAAAAGGACAATTTCAAAAGATCTATGTTGCTATTTTTGTTTGTTTTGTCACTAAGGCAGTACATTTCGAATTAGTATCAGATTTGACATTTGATGCTTTCATTGCTGCATTGAAAAGATTTCTCTCGCATAGGGGTAGAAGCTCAATCATATTTTCAGACAATGCAAACAAATTTTGTAGATGCTAGCAGAGAATTGTATAATCTTGTTAAGAACCCAGATGAATCTTTAGGAAAAATCTTTAGAAACTGAAGAAGTAAAATGGAACTTTTTACCTCCTAGAACTCCCAATTCTGGAGGACTTTGGGAGGCAGGAGTTAGATAATTTAAGCAGGGGGACAGAATGTTGCTGCCTTTAATTGTAATTGCAAAAAACTTGGTGATCTTGCACTTCAAATTTGAATGGTGCCAACTAGACGGGAAAATGTTAGTTCAATCGTCTGCTGGCACCAAGTCGCATCGTTGTCAATTGTCGAGAACTTTGATTCTAATGTATCACATATATTACTGTTGCATTTTTAATAAAACTAAGAAAAGACATTATTGCCTCAGCCTATAATACAGTCCACAATTAGACACAAACAATGCCTAAATTGTTAATCAAAGTCTTTGGTATACAAATTGCTGTTATAGTTTCCCAAGTGATAATCAAAGTTTTCAATAGTGAACATTGTGCAGGTACTATAAAACTATAAAACAGTAAAATATAACGAACTCTGATTTACTACAAATAAAAATAAATTAATTTTCATTTAAAGTGTACTTTTAAATACCCAGAAGAAAACATTATTAAAAAAGTGTACAACTGTTTAAAAGTGCAAGTAATTTAGGTTGATCTTTAGAATATGGTAACTGGTAGTTTGGCGACATTTTGGAGGCGATAAAGGTTACTACCTGGGACTTTGGTAATAATGTGAGCAGTACTCAGTTCCGATTACGCATTATTTTGTGTGAGGGAAATGAGAGATCATGGGATATGTCATGTGATATTAATGGACGAATTACGGTTCTTTAATCGGAAAAGGGGGGAAATCGGGAAAAAATCTGGAAATTTTGTATTTGGCTTTATTCTGTGTTGTGTGAAACAGTGTTGTTTAATTTTTGGATCCCATGGCCCTAACTAAAGTGAATTCGAAATGGGTATTTAGGCATTGTGATAAAGAGAAGTTTGCTTTTTATTTAGCGGAGGAAGTATGGAGGAAAAATTCGCACAAAAAATCTTTCAATAATTTTATTGAATGAATTAGAAAAGTGTATCCGCCACGTAATCAAGATTCTGAAGAAGATTAGGTAAGTTAGTATTTTTAATTATTTGAGGATATTATTTTTATGCATTGTTCTAAATGTAAGGTGGAAAGGAATTTGGTATTATTGGGAAAATTGTTATTAGCAATGATTTAGTTTAAAGTAATTAGGATTGTAAGGTAATTTTTATTAATTTAATGTATGTGCTCATTTATATTTTAAGTGTGTTTTTGAATTTAATTATATTTTAATGAAATGATAGTTATTTTGTGAATTTTATGTTTGTAGGAATTTGGTATACGTTTAAGTTGAAGTAAACGTGCATGGAAATAATTTAAATATTTGATACTAAGTATTTGTAATGCTTGCGGTATGAATTCGTTGGTGACGTGTATAATGTAATAGATGATTTAGAGGTAAAAGTTTTTGGATATTTTATTTATTTTATATGTGGAAATGTTCATATTTGGAAAGGGTAAATACTTTTTCGCGATCAGGTAATTTCATATATGTTCTTTTTACCGGGTTTAAAGATTGAGAAAATTGTCATGTATTTTCGTGAAATTTTTCTAATTTATGAGAAAAAAGCAGTGTACATGGATATAGTGAAGAGTGTGCGCAATGCCATTTTTGTGCAATTCTGGGATGTTTTTTTAAGTAAAAATAAGTCGGCGTGTACATGGTTTATGTGTATGTGTTATTTTGAAAAACGCGTAAGGAGTATGGTATTGTGCACTTTTTCCCAATTTTGCAGTGAATATTTGTCATGATTAAGCAGTTTTGTTTGATAAAATTTCTAGCATAAGTGTAATTCGGCTAGTAGATTGTTGGAAGAAGTGTTCAGTAGATAAAAAGAAAAGAAACATGTCTTTACTTCGTGAAGACAAAATGGCGGCAGGAAAAAAAAATAGAGGGTTGCTGTAGGAGAGTTGGTTGCCAAATTTTCGCCAAAAAATCGCCAAGTTACCATAATGTAAAGATCAACCGTAATTTAATTTAAGAACCCACAAGAGTGAAAAATTACTTCCCATTTAAGAATTATATGAATTCTGGAGCATGATCTTATTTATTTGAATACACATATCAACAAATGTTAAGTTGTAAAATATTTAAAGAAATTTAAGCTTTTTATAAAATATTTCAATTTAAGGAAATTTTTTAAAAAGTTAACATTTTTTAATCAAGTATGTTTCTCGCGAATATTCAATTCGCCTTATTAGAGTTTGACTAATTAACGTTCTAGGGTATCTATATACTCAACATATTTTGCCACATTCAATTTTCAATAACTGATTTGCTTCATGCATAAAAATTATTCACAACATGAAATCAAATGAGACACAGATAGAGAAATATTAATAAATGAATACCTCCCCCACTTGGATTGTACATGATGTGTCATGATTTCAGGTGTTGATGATGTTGAAAATGAAGCAAAGTGACCTGTAGTTTCACTCCCAACAGCAGTATCAGATTTTGAGCTGGCATCATCATCATCATTCACTTTATTCTGAGAAGGTGAATAATCTAGAAATAAAATTGTTATATTTTCAAAATTTAAAAATTTACTTTGAAAATTTACATTGAATATATAGAAATGAAAATTTAAGTCTACATTAATGGTCAAGTTCATACAAATAGGGACAGAATTAGTAGAAATACAAAAAAGAAAGAGGAATAACTAATACATATTTAGTATTCATTAAAAGTCTGAAAATTATTTCCAAAAATAAATAAATATATTTTTGAGAATAAAGTCCCAAACCTCAAATAAAATTTTAAAACTGAGTTTCATTTACCTAGTTTTCTTTTATACAATAAATATTTTTCTAACTATAAATTAATGAACTTTAAATTAACACCTATCTTTCGATTTTGAATATCACGTTGCAAAAGTCATTGGATGGTAACTGTTAAGTTACATAGATATAAAATATTGGATTGTTACTAGCTATTAGTTTTAACCTTTTCGGCACAAATTCCACCAAACTGTTAATTATTTCTTGCCAATTTCCTCTCTTGCTTTGAAGAAATATTTTGTGTTTGAATTTTATAATCCACTTCTTGCTAGATATATTCACTACATCTAAACCTGATAGTTACAGAGCCAGTGTTGCACATTAACAGCAATATGCTTAGAGTAAAACTTGAAATTATTTTGCAGGTTACATTTTTATGCTGCTGATTTCAAATTTTATATTAATATGTTGAACTATTATGCAATCAATAAACTTACTGCTAAAAGTCAAAATCAGAGAAAAAGGCAATTTCAGTTTGGCAGAGATTTTGAATATGTTAGTAAATAAGGCTGCTCTTCCATCTAACTATAAATTTCACATCAATGCTCTTCACTTCCAGTTTGACTGCTACTGCAGTTTCAAAGGACAACATATACACCCATATCACAACACTTCCTTCAATATATTCTGTTAGAACTCTTCTTAAAGACATAAAACAGAGAGACTGTCATTATTAAACTTATTTAAAAAAACATTTGTTAACACATATTATCTTATTTCTTTATTTCAAAGTCTTAATTATACATCTATATTCAGAAAAAAGCTAAAAATTTCTGTTACTTCACTGCCACAGAATTTCTTCCAAACAGCGACTCAGTACATCAAATTGCTATTTTAATACTCTTTGGAAAAAAGACATTCTTCATGCAACTAATGAAGTTTTGCAGCAGAAATGGAACACATGATCTTTGATTATTTTAATATTTCTGAGAAAATGCTTTGTATTCCACATGACAGCTTTGGTGCTCTCCTAAATCTTTTCATTTTCAATTCTGCATGCTTTTAATAACAGTTTTTATTACATAATAATTCATTAAAGGCTTTAAATTCTCTAATACATTTCACTTCTTTAGTATAAATTAACACTTCATTTATAATTTCTTTAATTACATAAGCCATCTTGAAGTAAGAACACTGAAATTGCGCAAATTAAATGAAAACTTGGTATTATACTATGACAAATTATTATTTTCTCCATTTCATCAGCATCTGCACAAACTTATACTATTAAGGTAAATTTTACTTTTCTGACTTATTTATACAGAATACCTTCTTGCAGGCATGACATGAAAAAAAGATCAATGCCATTAGTGATAAAAACATCTTTCAGGTGATATCCAATGGTTTTTTTTTTAATTAATTCTTGTTGCTATTGCTAAAATTCAAATCAGACATCTTTGCATACTGTACTTATGACATGAGAATTTGACACAGTTAAAATTTATGCAGTTGACGAGTTTAAATACCAGATGTGCTTCACATTCAATTATCATGTTAATTCTTTCGTGTTTCTCATTAGCAATCTTATTCCCAAAACATTTGATGTTTCTACAAGCTGTTGCTTTTTCTTCAATTTTTCATCTTTTAAAAAATTTGCTTTCAGTGTAAATCATTGATGGCAAACTTGTGATACATAAATCCATTAAGGATGACACACATCACACATTTATACAGCTAGAGCATAATACAGAAATATATGTCTCCTGCAATGGCCTCATTATTGTCAACATTTGCTGCCACTTACTTTGGGTGCATTCAAGTGCTGACTTGGCAGATGGATGATTCTATATATAACATAGCACCACAGTTAAGGCACATGCTTTTCCAAATTTTGAGATGTCGAGGTGTAAGCACACGAATACACATTTTCTTTGATAATTATTCTTCAATTCTGTATTCTTATCAAATTATATTAAAATTTTGATTTCACCTTTTTATAAGAATGCATTTCATTTTCTAGACATTTTAACAGCAAGTTAAGTACACTCCAGTTATAATACATTTACCACATGATATAGGAGTACCTGTTTCAAATATTAGCAAACCAATCTAGTCTACAGAATCAACTGTCCGTTCTATTTTCCGAAACAAACTCTCCTTACATCCATTAACTGATTGTTGAAACACAGTATTAGTTTAACCCTACAAACAATTTCCAGATGATAATGGGAAAGAAAAATAGTAAATGGAGATATTGTTTGAGCTTTAAAATGACATATGAATTGAGTAAGAACAGGAAGAAATACCATGAAACTAAAATTATCTGTTGTATAAGCAAAATATTTTATTTTATGAATATGGACAGAGATGACATACAAATGTAAAAGACATATAAATGAGAAATGTATAATCAGTGCCTCATGATATTAACATGTTAAAACTATCATGAAACTTGCATGAAAGAAAGGAGTGGCATAGAAATTAAAATGTTTTTACTTAAAAAAAAAGTTTACGTAGCTTAACTATCTAACAAAATTGCTCATGCACAAAGAATGAATTTCTTTATCTTCCCATGATATTATAAATCCAGTAACATGTAATACACATACAATCAAAATTAACATTTCACAAATACAGTTATTTTGCTAATATCAGATATCTCAATCACCAGAAAGTTAATATTATAAATACATGTAAACTATATATTATTTTACTGATGTATTTAATATCAAACCAAAGAAATACTTAATTTCGATTACTGATGATATTTTTCAATGCATATGACAAGGAATAAAAATTTACAATATAAAACATACTGTCAAAAAAAAAAAAAAAATACTGATGTCATGCAAAGAATAATATATTTCCGTATTACTTATTTATGAAAATAAATAAATTTTAAAACACTGCATTTTGCATTCTATCACCTACTACAAAACAACACAAACCTTTAAACGCATTATTTATTAAAAATTCAAATTACGAATTTGCGTACATTATAGAAGTAAAAATACAATAATAACACGTTTCAGTAATTAACACAAACACAATTTTGATTCGACATATGTAGAAAGTTCATTGCAATTCATTCTTTCATATAATACCAGAAAAAAAAAAAAAAAAAAAATTCCACACATTACAGCCCCTGTTACAACGAAGTACAGGCGACTTTTTTGCAGATTTATTGTTTAATTTTTATTTTGAATCAAGAGAAATTCGACATTACAACCTACGACTTCTTGAAATACATTGATTTCTAGGGAAACAAGTTCACTCGATTCAGTTGCGTTAATAACAGTCGTGTTTTGAAAAAAGAAATAAATGTTTATAAAAACCAGCATAAATATTTAATAGCAGGATTTTAAATTCCTCTTACTCACCTGGCAATAGAAGATAATTTGTTGACTGACTGCGTTTTCGAATAGGATCCTTCTTGTCGTGCATTTCATTATACTTCATACGCTGAGGATAGAAGTAATCGGCAATGGCCTTCATAACACTTGAAGTTTACTAAATCTTTTTTTTTTTTTTTTTTAACTAACTATGCGTCAATTTACAAACGAAAAATGAAGACATCCGCTCCATTCCGCTAGAACATGTGAGCAGCTGTTACTAGCTTTCGCTCACGCACGTTCATCTGTATGATAGACGGGTTGCCACTTTAGGCGATTTTGCGTTATCTGTTTCGAAATAATAAACAGAAAGCAATAGCAAAAACGTCTTTGCTCATCTTAGTGAGCGGAGGGAGAACAAGAAGAAAAGCTTGCAAACAAAACTAGATCTTGCATTGCTTTTTGCAAACATATAAAGCATATATACAATCAAGCAAATATATAATTCTAGTCAAAATCTTTGTAAATTATTAAAATTTGAACACCAAGCAAGCATTGAAATTGGACACATTTTTTATTGCTACGCCAGAAGCACGAATAATGTTTAATTAAATTCTACACGATGTAGATTGCTTTCTTATTTATTCAGATGGTATCAAACATATTTTTTTGCGCTGAAACTTCTCTTTTTTTAAAAACCTGACGTCAGTGGTATTATCGCTAGAATGGTACTTCAATCGGTTACTAATGAATATTAATATACTGCAAATTGTTTAATAATTAAGAGTTTAAAATTAAATATGGGAATATACAATGCACCTTATTAGTCCAAGGGGGCTTTGTCCCTGAAGGACTACTGTTTGCGTTTTGCGATTTTGCGCCGTTTTGCCTATAAACGGCGTATCACTTTTGAAATCGTTGCCACCAAAAACTATCGCCCTGTATTATATTTGAAGACATTAATTAATGAAGAATCTGCATAAATGTATGCATGTTTCTCGCATTGTTATAACACAACATACCTAGAGCCATTCAATTTTGAATGACGTAATCCTACTGCGAATATCATCTGAAAGCCCAAATTTGAAATTTGTTTTATTATCGATTTCATATTTTGTAAAACTTGAACGAATTTTTGATTAACAAACTCAATGATTAAAAGCGAGCAAGGGCAACACTCTTCCGGGAAAGAAAAAAAAAAATTTTATCTTCAGCGGCGCGGAATTGTGTAACGGAAATTCTACGGATAGGCTCTTTTAAAATTTTTTAGCGACATTGCTGTTGAACTCAATTTTATGGTTTAAGTGCGGAGACCATGATATTTAATAAATAAAGGTAACAAACAAAACGTTAAAAAAAGTCTCTTTGGACGTAATTTAAAATCTGAAACCTTTCAATTTTTTTTTTTAAATATTTACTTAATTTAATGTGGTTACAATTTACTTAATTAACAGTTGAATGCTTTTAAATTAAGTAAAATTTAAATATTTACTTAATTTAAAAGCATTCAACTGTTTCAGCATGCGGAATATTATAATGATGAGAGTTCCTTTTGTCGCCTTGAACATGAGAGATTAACTCTTTAGAAATGCATAGAATTAAAAGTATAAAAAGAAATTTGATTTTTAAATTTAAAAAAAAAAAAAAATTGAAAGGTTTCAATTTATTTACGACCAAAGGGGAGTTTTTTTTTAACGTTTTGTGTGTTACCTTTAGTTATTAAATATCATGTTCTTTGCACTTAAACCATAAAATTCAGCTCAATAGCAATGTCGCAAAATAATTTTAAAATGAGCATATCTTTAGAATTTCCGATACACAGTTCCGCGGGCTGGAGATAAAAAAGGTATCCCCTCCCCGTAGAGTGTTTTGGTCTTTCACATCTCCATATTCGTAGGAGGATTATGTGATTCAAAATTCGATGGCTCTATGTATTGTTGCTTTATCACAATACGAGAAATATACATACATTTATGCAGATTTTAACTCTTTAGAAACTTAGTTAACAATTAACATGGTAATCATTATTTAATTTCTTCAAATATAATACAGGACTATAACATTTTGTGGCAACGGTTTGAAAAGTGAAACGGACATTTTTAGTGATTCAACGCAAAATCGGAAAACGGAAACAATAGTCCTTCAGGGACAAAGCCCCTTTGGACTAAAAAAATTGCAGTGTAGTTTATTTTTCCAGAAGGGGGATAAAAAATAATATTTTCTTTAAGGATCTACGATATTTTTCTATAAATATATAAAAGCTGGGAGGGGGATCAACGTTTACAATGGCTTAATTCAACTGTCAAATTATAAAGCTTTGCATGGAATAGGAGTTTAGCGAAGAAAGAGGGTAAATAATACCAGTTCGAACCCTGGTCCAACTTATTTTTTATTCTTTTCCAAGCTTACTGAACAGTATTTTAGGTACGTTATTATTAATTCGCATTGATTGAAATAACAATAATTGTATTTTCTCCCTTGTTCTAGTAGAATTCGATAACAAGAAGCATAATAATGATTGGATAGCAAACATACAAAGTATTATTTCCGTTAATAGTCTCTTTTCATCTGTGAAATGAAATATGGCGGAAATCTTTCCTAAAACCACTGAAAAAATTAAAAAAATCAGCTTAACATCATAATATGTCTGACACACTTTGATAAATTTCATATAGCTGCAGCTTTATGTACAATGACATGGTAATTTTCGTACGGGGTCGTCTCGTATTTAAAATCATTATACATACCTCTATTATTTAAGATGACGAATCCGTGTTGCGCTGTAAAAAGGCAGTGCCTTAGAGAACTACGAAATTTTGAACACATAATGCGCATACGCACATGTAAATCTCGAAAGATGAATTTTTTTTTAAAACCCTATAAGGTATTTCAGCCCACCTTCTTAGGGAGCCTTCGTGGTGTAGTGGTCTGCACGCTCAGCAAGTTTGAGAGTTCCGCGGTTTCGATTCCCGGCGAAAGCGTTGCATATTTTTCATCTTTCCTGCTTCTCAAAAAAATCCTAAGGTCTCTACAGAGGCGTCCGAAATAAAAGGGTGTGGAATGATGCTTCTCCACACCCAGGATTTGGCGATTGGGTCCCCTAAAAAAATCCAGTCGCCCTTTAAAGGGGGGGGTATGTATAAGGTATTCTCCCAACCTTAGTGGCAAAAGCCACCTCTTTTTACTGATCATTCTTGTCTCTATGACACCTTCCTAGATCTTTTTACTTCCAGGATGCCTTATGTGAAGACAACTGGCAAAAAGCCTGCAGTATCACGCAGACTAAGACCAGTATAACAACGGTAAATGTAACGAAATGGATTCTTAAGGCCTCGTGGTGACGGTCTGATGCTCAGCGCGTAATTGAGAGGTCCGCGGTTCGATTCCTGGCGAAGGCGTAGCATATTTTTCATCTTGCCTACTTCCAAAAAATACCTAATGCCTCTGCAACCCAAAGGCTAAAACATACATGCAGATTCTTCTTTATCTAATTTCTTTAAAAGATATTACAGGGCGATAATTTGAAAAGTAATACGCGGTTTTATGATGAACCGGCGCAAAACCCCATTTCCAGACGAAGAGACCCTTTTGGAATAATTAAGAGAAGTTTATTATGCAGTTTTTTAAATGAGTAAAACAGAAGATTTCCTTACAGGTATTTTTCTGTCAATTTGAAATAATTTACTGTAATTGTTTTAGATGCATCATATTACCTTTCAGTGCATAAACGAATCTTATTATTATTATTATTATTCTCTCTCAATTTTCGATCATCTTGTTTCTTTCTTTCATGTCCAGCCCACCAGCAGCCGAGTGGTAAAGTTGCTGAATGTTAGTCGTTTGATCTAGGTTCGATTCCAAAAGAACAGGTTCTCTCATGAGCGTTTTCCTGGTCTTGGTGTGCTTTACCATAATTAAATAAAACCCAAACCTCTCCTTTAGATCTTCTCAGTTATATTTATATTAATTTAAGTACAGACTATTATTCCATTTTTCAGTAGATATTGGCAGCACTTATGTTAGCTGAAATACCGCTTGTCTCTGCTCCTCCCTCCGATTTTATTTTTACTGAACAGTTTGAGTAGGGGGACACAACAGCCATTCTGAAGCAATCATCATATACATTAAATCTGAAGTAAAATTCTCTTTTTCTCACTACCTACACAACGAAACCAGACGAATCTTTCTCTAAGAAAATCGAAAAAGATCAAGAAAGGAGCTTAACGATAATGTAGGCTACAGGATATATTACAGGGTAAAACATAACAGGGGGGGGTGGAATACTGAAGAACTTCTGTACAAATTATTATAGCAGGTTCAACTAATCTTTAAGTATTCGTGTACCTTTATTATGACCATTCTTCCAGTTACGTGGTCAGAACAAGGTTTAGTTCCCATACAAATGTTATTTAATCATTCTAATTCTATTCTAGGTAATTAATGATTGCTTGATTCTCATAATCATGCACGCTGAGTCATCATGTTACCACTCTAACTGCTGACTTAAAACGACTACACATTTTTATGCTCCGTTTAATATTCATAGATATGAGAAAGAAAATAAAGAGTACATTTTTTTTTTTTTTTTTAATTTTTGTTTTAGTTTTATTTAACTCTTAAAATGCCAGAACGTTTCAAGGCATTCAAACAATTTTAACACTGTATTCTCTATTACAAATACAATAGTAGCTACTTACGGTTTACTACCTTAATCTACTCATGGTTTTAGACGATTTTGGCTACTTCTGAAAGTGGTCATCTTACAGATCATGGCTATCGATGATGTTTAAAAACGTTATTTAACTTCATTCCTAAAAACACTGCAGAGTGATCAATATCAGATGTCAATATTAATAAAGAAAAAGTAAAAAAAATTGTCATATAATAACAGATTTAGATCAATAAATTAAATAATATTTAAAGCAGTAAATTAAATTAAATTCGTAATGAACAAAAATGATTATTAAAATCTAAGCGAACTCTTTGTTTAGATATGAAGAAACTATATAATAAACTATTACTATATAAAAATAGTTATATTTCAACGAAATAAAATTGAAAGTTATTGATGATAAGCGTTAGACTTTACCACCGCTAAAAGGAGAAAAAAAACGAAAAAGTAAAATCAGAACCGACGCCCAACATTAACTGATTAGAGCAAAACACGCTCTATTTTAGGAATTTAGTGAAAATTTGAAAAATTTCCTAGAAAAGCGTATTTATATTTGTGTTACACATAAAAAAACAGCTGCCGGGAAAAGAAAACGAATTACCAATGTTCAGCAAACATT